GAAGAGAAATTGATGCCTTTGATTTGTGGTGCTTAAGAAGAGTATTGAACATATCATGGAGTGTCAAGAGAACAACATATCTGTCTTGGAGAGGGTGGAATCAGGCTGCTTCTTGTGGCAAGGATTTTGAAGCTTCTTCTCACGTACTTTGGAATTTTGCCAGGAGAGACCAGTCGTTGGAGAAGGACATCAGGCTTGGAAAGGCGGAGAGACAGTGCAGGAGAGGAAGACCTCAGATGAAATGGATCGACACAGTAACTGGAGTAACAGGGATAGGTGTGTCAGAGACAATGAGATTGGCTCAGGATACAGCAGAGTTCAGAGCTATCGTACATGGGGTTGTAATCAGTCACAAGTGACTTGACAGCACATAACAACAAGAAGTCTGAGAGAAGAGATCGCTCAGCTCTCTCCCTGGGAATAACTGTTGGTTTTGGACCTCCTTTGCATTAACAGCACCTTACAGGCTTTGTCAGCAGAAAGGATGAAAACTTTACACAGTGCTTGTAATGATGGGTTTGAGCGCTCAGAGATGGTGAAGATGGCACAGGTTAGGGCAAGATTCAGATCTGTTGTTCACAGTCGCTACAAGTTATAATCAACACAAAGGTACCCCAAACCAACAATATTTCTGATGCCTTTTGCCAAGGACTGGGCCCTCCTGACGACATGCCCAAAGTATGTGAGATGACACAACAGTCAAGAAATCAATAGAAAAATAGTATCGGTTTAATAAGATTTTTAAATAGAGATGAGTCTTTATGGAATGAAACAGTAAGAAGAGTACTTAATTGCCATTACCCTTTATATTATGATCCATTTGAGACACCTTTGTGATCCTGTCTGTTTCCAATATGATCTTACCTAACATTTGTATAATAAAACTTTTTTTAAAAAGTTTACTATTTTGTGTGTGTGTACTATCAAATTGGATCTGACTGGTACAGGAGGAGATTGTCCCTCCTTCTCTGGCAGAGCATCTGATGGATTTGAACCATGTATCTCTGGGATTGTAGTGCAGTTTCTTGCCACTAGGCCACCAGAGCTCCCTAGTAAAACCTTTTTTATTACCTGATTTTTCTATAATAAAATACTTTTTTTAACATCAAATTCAAGCGTCAAATTACAATACAGTGAGATGCTATGGGCAAAATCTTGAATGATCTAGGAAATATCAAAAGAATATGGAGATAATACACAGAGTTACTTTACCAAAAAGATTAGTTGACAAAGAAATATTTCAGGCAGTAGCATATGAACAAAAATAGATTGTAATAAAGGAAGAAGTTCAAGCTGCACTGAAGCCATTGGCAAATAAAATGGCCCTGAGAATCAACAGCATACCAACTGACCTATTTCAAGAGACAGAAGAATACCTGGATGTGCTCACCAGTCGGTGCCAGGGAATATGGAATACAGCTACCTGGCCAATTGACTGGAAGAGATTAATATTTGTTCCCACTTCCAAGAAAGGTGACTGAGCAGAATGTGGAAATTACCTAACAATATCATTAACATAGCATGCAATACTGAACACCAAACAAAAATAGCCAGACTAGTACATTAGCAGATGAATACAGGCAAGAAATTCAAGCTGGGTTTAGAAGAGGCTGTGGTACCAGGTTGATGTCAGATGGATCTTAGCAGAAAACAGAGAATACACAAAGAATGTCTACTTGTGTTTTATGGATGATGAAAAGGCTTTTGACACTGTGGATTGACTATGGCTAACACTGAGAAGAATGGGAATCCTAGAACATCTAATCATGCTCATACAAAGCCTATACCTAAACCAAGAATCTTTTGTCTAAGCAGAGGAAAGGGACACTGCATGGTTTAAAGTCAAGAAAGGGGTGCATCAAGATTATATCCTTTCTTAATACCTACTCAATCTGTTTACTGAGCAAATAATTAAAAAAGCTGGACTCTGAAGTAAAAGGTGGCATCAGGATAGGAGGAAGACTCATCAACAGCCTGTGTCCTGCAGATGACACAATCTTGATTGCTCAAAGTGAAGAGGACTTGAAATGCTTACTTCAGACGGTCAAAGACAATAGCCTTCAATATGAATTGTATCTCAACATCAAGAAGACAAAAATGGTCCCTACTGGGCTGATAGACAACATCATGATGGATGGAGAAAAGCTTGAAATTGTCAATGATTTCATCTTGCTTGGATCCACAATTAACTCCTTTGGCATCAATAGTCAAGAAATCAAAAGCCATACTGCACTGAGCAAGTCTACCATAAGGGAACTCTCCACAGTACTGAGGAGCCGTGATGGCAGTTTGAAGACTAAGGTGATCCAGATTCAAGCCATGGTCTCTTCAATCACTTGTGTGTGAGAGAGAACTTTGTTTAGACAGAAGAAATGATGCCTTTGAGTTGTGGTGTTGGAGAAGAGTACTGAATAGCCTACAAACTGCCAAAAGAACAAAGATATATATGTCTTGGAGATGGGGAAGCCAGAGTCCTCCTTACAGGCAAAGATGGCAAAATTTCATCTCATCTACTTTGGATATGTTGTTAGGAGGGGCTGTTCCTTGGAAAGGAGCATGATGCTTGGAAAGGTAGAGGGCTGGTGAAAGAGAAGAAGATACTCAATAAAATAAATTGATACAGCAATGGCCCCAAGTATGTCAGAGATGATGAAGATGGCACAGGATACTACAGATTTCAGATCTGTTGTTTTTACACTAACTCAATGTCACACACCACCACCACCACCTAACTTCTTGATATTGGTTGAAGTGCGTTCTCTCTCTCTCTCTCTCTCTCTCTCTCTCTCTCTCTCTCTCACACACACACACACACACACACACACACACACACACCACACACACAGCCTCCTGGTGACATTGGACCCTAGGACATATTTACACAGCTTTCAGATGTGTACATAATTTAGACTACTCAACACACAGATTAAAGGAGTATGGATTAAGGATACAACTCTTACAAACATCTTTTCGGATTTTAAAACATGCAGTGCTCCCTTGTTCTTTCTGGACAACTGCTTCTTGCTCTACAAATAGTTTTCACATCAGTGCAATTAAGTGTTCTGGAATTCCCATTCTTTTCAATGTTATCTATAATTTGTTATGATCCACACAGTCAAATACCTTTGCATGGTCAATAAAACACAAGTAACATTTCTGATATTCTCTGCTTTCAGCCAAGATCCATATGACATCAGCCATGTTATCCCTCTTGCAATGGCCTCCTCTGAATCCAGCTTGACTTTCTGGACAAGGCCGAAATAATCATCTGTCTCTTACCCATGTGTCTCCTTCCTGGTCTGTAAACACCCTGGGTCTTGATAAGTCTGGTTAGTTACCCAAATCAAAGAAAATCTATAAGCAAGATGTATGAGGACCTATTTTTAGCATATTTCTATGAAACAAAACTTTCTTTTCCTCCAACTTGTATAAGTTTTTAAAAAGCTGTAGCCAAATTTTCAGACACTTGACTAGCAAAAAAAAAAAAAAAAAAAAAGCTGTAGCTGTTTTGGTCTCAGGTGGAACTATTACTTACCTAGCTAAAAAAATTAGACCAGGTGAGAGAAATTAGAGAGGATGATGTCTGAGCTACAGAAGTTGTACAGGGTGTAGTGATTTTAAAGGTCCTTAAAAGAGCCATTTTTAGTGTATAGCACGTGTGGAGGCCCTTGGAAGAGCCATTGTTCAAAATAGTCCTGTGAACTGAGGAACCATTCTTAGAGCACAGAGCCAAGAGGAAAGGTGAGGAGACAGGAGTGAAGGTAAAAGTAAAGGCACTTTTATTAGAAATTATATGAAAGAGAAAGGAATAGGTCTCCCTCTAATCAAATAAAGTAATGGAGAGGACTGCCACTGGGGCCCGGGGTTAACCTGGCTGGCTCACTTCCTCATTTGGGCATACATAGGGCTTCAGTCTGGGCCAATGGGATGAAGTGTGAGAAGTTCAAAATGTGGGAGGTGGTTCTAACGCTTGTTCTTAACATAATTGGTCCAATGATAAGTTTCCCATGTGCCTAAAACACTAACAAGGTTGTTTCCAAGAAAAGTGATCCAACAGAATGTAGGAATTACCAAGCATATCACATGCAAGCAAAATGTTACTCTTTCTTTGAGTCTGTCTTTTCTACACATGTCAGGACTTGATTTCAGTGCTCTCTGTTCTCTAGTTTTGATTCAGCAGCGACAGGTTTTAGCTACTTTGCTTGATTCTTATCTTTCACCAGCTCTTAACATGAATTTAATCTGGTCTTAGCTACTTTCCCTGACTTTTGTCTTTAACATGACTTATTCCTTGCTTACGATGTCAGCCTGGAAACTAAGGTGCGCCTGATCCAGGCCATGTTCTTCGCAATTACTTGATATGCATCAGAATAGAAAGAGAATTGATGCCTTTGAGCTGTGGTGCTGGAGGAGTATTGAATATACCATGGACTGCTGCTAGGAGAACAAACAGGTTCATCCTTGAGAGGGTGAAACCGGGCTGCTCCTTGAAGGAAAGGATTCTGAAACTTCGTCTGACAGAGGAACATCATGCTTGGGAGGGTGGAGGGACAGTGCAAGAGAGGAAGACCCTCAATGAGATGGATGGATTCAGTGACTGGGGTAATGTGGGTCAGTGTGTCAGAGACGATAAGGTTGGCTCAGGATAAAGCAGAGTTCAGAGCTGTTGTACATAGGGTCACTGCAAGCGACTCAACAGCCCATAACAGCTACCACCTTGCTGATGACCTTTCCCCCAGCCTCGCCTCTTTCCCCCTGTGTTGACCTTGACAGAGCTGTGCAGCTTGCGGCTCCTCATAGCCATTTCTTTACTTTGTCTTTTTGATAAGTGTTCTGAATAAAACCTCTTTTCTTGGCTTTTGGCAACTTCAGTGATTCCTCTCCCCCCCAAAATCAACAAACAAAATCTTTATTTCTTCCCCCCTTTTATTAAAAAAAAACACACACAAATGGAGCATTGGAAACAAACTGGGACCTTAGACCTCTGGATCTGGTGAACGTTAAGCAAAGTAGCCCCAGAGAAAGAGGGCACAGCTAATGCAAACAATGAGACTGATGTCCAGGAGAGTCTTCACGGCGGGATTTTCTTCCAAAGATGCCATGACAGGTTCTGCTTTGCTCACAGGCTTGTCCGTGTCTTTGTTGTCCATTCCACAGAGCCACAAGATGGCTTTCACCACTTTGGACTGCTTTGGTGTCTCAGCATCTGAAAAGGAGCAACCAAAGAAAGGTCATTGAGGTGGACTGTGTCTTCCAGAGATGGAGGAGAAGACCAGCGTGTGTTACAAGCACTATGACAAGTACTTTATAATCTTTCTTGCCTAGTTCTGAAAGTATGTTGACCTGATAAATTTAGATAAATTGAGAGGCTCAGAGGGTTAACTAATTTGAGCTATTTATTACACAGCTGGTACGTAGTGGCAGAGGTGGGCTTAGGATCTCTCCATCTAGTTCTTTCATTACCTTCAACGAAGCTGAAGGGGGATGACTAGTCTTGTAGGAAACTCTCCATTCAGAGCTGGAGTTGCAACCCAAATGTCTACAGAACTGGATGGTGGTGTCAAGGAGAGCAAACGAGCCTATTTAAACCTATGATGACACATACATGTGTTGTATTTTGTAAAATATTCCCTTATTACAAGTGAAGATGGAAATCTGGAATAGTATGTCAAATTTCCCAGTTTTTCATTGTTAACTCACATTTTATTAAAACAGTAGATGAAACCAAAATGCAGGGAGGTTAAATGAATGGCTTTAGTCAGCACCCAACAGATGTCTGCTACTCTTTATTATCCAACGGAAATTTCTGCTAAAACTTAGTAAAGAACCTTCTTGACGGGTTGGAGAATATGGAAGGATGAAACTTGGGAGACAGAGTTGCAAATTCCAAGCCTACCCACCTCGTCTAGCCTAAGACTTGATATGCTTTTAGATTTTAAAGCCCATAAGAAGCTTGGAAGCAGGAGTGGCATCCATTTCTGAAATAACTTCCCTCCAGAAACTCTATGAACTTGGAGAAACTATGAAAGTTATACGAGTGTTCAAGTTTTTTGTTCATAGGGTTGCTAGTTGTCATCTATGACTCGACGGCACTCAACAACGACCGTAGAACTTTAAGAGCACATGATTTGCAGAAAGCTGCAGCCTGCATTAAAGTCTGTCTTCTAAACCTTAACCTAAATCTAGATGCTGCATTAAATCCTCTGAACTTTCAAACTGCCAACATAATCACAACATTGCCAGAATGATTCAAGAAAATTGCATTAACATCCATACAAAAAGGGCTATAGAACTTGCCCAGACATTCCCATAAGAGCCATTCTATTAATATTGGGTCATGTGCATTAACATAAAGGTCACTCCATTTCCCCTCCTTTCACCTTCTCCTAGACCAAGGAAAAACCTCCCTGTCTATGGAGAGTAGAATCTTTTATCAATAAACACTTGTCTGACCAGTTGTCTCTGAAACCTTGCATGAAAGATCTTGTTGTTGTTGTTATGTGCCATCAAGTCATTTGTGACTCATAGTGACCCTATGTACAACAGCCCTAAACCCTGCTCTACCCTGTGCCAATCGCATTGCCTCTGACACACCCATCCCGATTACCCCAGTCACTGAATCAATCCACCTCATAGAGGGTCTTCCCCTCCTGCACTGTCCCTCTACCCTCCCAAGCATGATGTCCCTCTCCAAGGACCTGTCTCTCCTTACAACATGCCCAAAGTATGTCAGACGAAGCCCCAGAATCCTTGCCTCCAAAGAGTAGCCTGGTTTAACCCTCTCTATGATGAATCTGTTTGTTTTCTTGGCAGTAAAGAAGACTTGTATCTTAAAAATAGAATTTATATTTTAAGTATAAATTATTATAAAATTATTTAAATTATTTCTTAATATTTCTAAATTCCATGAAATATATATGTATAAATTACAGATATGATTCTGCCAATCATAATATGAAAATCAAAAGAGTTTAATAATAATTAACGAAGGTTTGTAAAACCTTTGGCCTCTGGTAGCAATTACTCTGATGACAAGCAAGCCTATTTCCCACTTGTCTTTCTCTCTTTATTCAATATGTCGAATAAAAAGACTCAATCTGCCAAATAAGGGAGCTCTGCTGATTTAGTGGTAAGGATTTGCTCTGCCACCCCAAAGGCAAGAAGTTCAAATCCATCAGCTGCTCTGTGAAAGAAAAATGGGCACTTTCCTCCCATGTGATTTCCTGTCTCTGAAAACCACTGGGGAGTAAGTTAGAAGTCCTTCTCAACTTGATGGTACATCATGACCACAATGCCAAGTAAAAAATAGTTAATACGCCAAATAAAAATATTGACTACTGTGACTATGTTATGTGGTTTTTTCCCCCTACAGCATAGATATTAAATTTCTTCTTGAGCACACAATGTATCTTGAGGCCGTGCCTATATGGAAGAGAGAGGTGACTCACAGTTGGGGGGTTTGGACGTGTTTTCTTGAACCATCTCAATTTGGATGGTGGTGTTACAACCTTCCGGTGTTCCATTCTGAGGGATGGTAAGAGGCGAAGGGGGTGCCTGTTGCTTCTGGACGACAGGGTCATGGCGAGTAAACCAGGTAAGGCGGCTGACCTAAGGGACAAGATGAAGCGTGAGAGGGGAGGGTCTGCCACTCCTTTCTCCCATCCTCTGCTCAACTCCAAGCCCAGCCTTCACGTCTGGATGGTCCCATCTCTCCTTCTCACTTCATCCTCCAACACAGCTCCTTGCTTCAGCTCTCTGTACTCTTAGAAGCAATGGGCATTTCCTCTGTTCAGTCCTCCATATTTCTTCAACAGCCTTAATTCTCATTTTGGGTCCTGACCCTCCCTCATTCTAGTCCTTAAGGTTTATCCTAAGCCTTTAAGTATCTGATGATCAGCCATTTAGCTAACCCATTCCTCTGGGCTCATATGATTAATGGTTAAGTGATCATGACTTGATCAAGGAGGACACAGAACTTTATTGGAGACATTATGACAAAAATATCCATGCTTTGCTTAAATGAGAAGCTGTTGATCTTCCATGGAGCCTGAGGATAGAAGCAGAGGTGAGAGATGGATTCCAGAAACTCTTTCTGAGTCTTATATCAAAATGAAATCAATTTAGTGGCTGAGGAGTTGATTTTGATTCTTGGCCATACTGGGCACATCAGAGTAGAATCATGCTCCATGGGGTTTTCAAGGGCTTTTTTTTTTTTTTAAGTAGATCCCCATGACTTTCTTCGGAGCCACCTTTGGGCGCATTAACTGACTGTACCATCGAGGTTTCTGTTCTGAATCAAGCTGCCCCTAAAGCTTAATTCTGGATTTTTATCTTTTTGAACCATCAGTTCTTTCTGCTTAGACCAGTTGGAGCCAATGTTCTGTCTGCTGCAAGAAAAGGAAGGAGGGAAAAAAATACAATCAAACCCAGAGGTACCATCTCCTTGGCGGGTGGCTCTGTGAACCAGCTGACGGTGACCACGGTGACCAAGGTGACCACGGACAGAATGATGGATAAGTAGAGGTAGTGTATGTTCTTCACCACTGCGGGGCGCTCATCTGGCTGGTCACACCGAGGCTCCACATAAATAAAGTCCAGGACCAGTCTGACAAATCCTATCAGCAAGCCCACGATTAGGCCCGAGAAGGCCCCCTGTAAGCAGAGCACAACCATCTCAGAGACATCGAGGACTGGAGGGTTGCCAGTTCAAGTACCCTAAAAACCCAAGAAGCTGTCTCCAAAGCTACTTTCTGACAAAGCTGGGGCCAATGGTTCTAGAAGTTCTGGAGCTGATTCTTTCTCTGTTACATGTAATTGATCATTTACATATTGTTTGTTCATTCCTTGTTAATTCAGTTTACCGTCTTAATGACAAAGTGTATCTATACGCTTCTAAGAACCCTCACTGCTTCCCTTCCGCCCTCTCCCCCGCCCCCCTCCCCAAGATCAGGTTAATATGCTTCCTGGATCTTGCTTCAAATAATTTCACCCTGGATCTCGCTAAGAAGTTCACCTTTCCCACTGACTCCCAGGTGAAGTTCATCCTCTCTAGCCCTCTCTACTTCCACCCTCCCTCTACCCTCAGGTACTGGGAAATGAGAGGCAGTACTTGGTTCTTGTATGGGGAGCGGGCGCATCAAGAGCTACCTTTTCATTGGTCCGCTTCCAGAAACATCCCATGATGAAGACCACAGCCACGGGTGGCTGCAGGTAGGAGCTGATGGACTGGATGTAGATGAAGAGTTGGCCGCCCTGGCTGGCTTGAACCACAGGAATCCAGAGGATGGAGACCAGCACCAGCACCAGCACAAACACTCTGGTGCAGTGGGAGAGAGAGTCCCGTCAGTATTGCATTCCCTGGGGCCTTTTCATTGTGCCTAGACACACAACCACGTTCTTTTCTTTCTTTTTTTTTTAATTTTTTTATTAATCACTTTCTTTTTTAACACTGAGAAGAATTTTCTTGTAAAAAATACAACTTACACATAACACTGTGGCACAAATAAAATTTTATTAAGGAACCGATAGAGGGGCAAGAAGAATTTACCTATGATATATAAATCTATGTAAAATAAGCTTCAATACTCTGCCAATCAAAATAGAACTATTTTCATAGTGATAAGAAGCGCGTTACAATCCCAAAGGCAGGCGGTTCGAATCCACTAGCTATTCTGTGGGAGAAGGATGGGCAATCTCCTCCCGTGCGATTAACTGCCTCTGAAAACCCACTGGAAGGTCAGGTATGTGGTAGCCACACCCTGGTGCTTCAGGTAGCAATTGAACCCAGCTCTCCTGCATAAACGGTGAGAATTCTACTATTGCCTTCATTGTAAGTGCACAATTAAATGATTTTTAGTTAACTTTATAGAATCAGGCAACTATCACCACAATTCCATTTTGGAATATCCATCATTTCAAAAAGTTCCTTCAGCTTAGGGAGTTCTGGTGGCCGGCTAGATAAGGAGTTGTGCAGTTACCCCAAAGGTAAATGGTTTGAAGCCACCAGCTGCTCGTTGGGAGGAAGATGAACAATTTCCTCACATGCAATTTGTGTCTGTTAGGTGCTGTCAAGTCCAGTATGACTCTTAGCAAGCCTATAAACAAGAGACTGTCCTATTCTGCACCATCTTCATCATCTCTGACACACCTGAGCCCACTGCTGAAGTCACCATGTCTATCTATCTTGTTGGGGGCCTTCCTCTCTTTTGCTGACATTCCACCTTTCAAGTATAAGGAATAACCTCTTCTAACAACATGCCCAGCTATTCCTGGGGCCTTACTTTTGCCAGTGTTTCCAACACAGCTTGATCATCTTTCTTTACCGTTGGCTCTTGTTCATACGATACTTCCTGAAATTTTTCAGTGTCAACCAATTTTCTTTATTTCATTCTCTTTATTTTTATTTCAACCAATACTTTTTGGAATAGTGACTCTGTATTCCTTCCATCCTTGATGCTTCTTGCATCATTCATGATTTTGCCCACAGAATCTTTCAGTATCACAACTGGACACTTGAATTTGTTTTGAAGTTCTTTCAGCTTGGGAAATGCTAAGCGAGTTCTTCCTTTTTGTTCTCTGACTCAAAACTCTTTGCACATTTCATGATAATACTTTGCTTTGTTTTTTTCCAATGGATCTTTGAAATCTTCTGTTCAGTTCTTTTACTTTGATATCTCACCCCTTTGTTTTGGCTTCTTGGTGATTACATTAGCAATTGTCTTATTTTCTTCTGACATCCATTTTAATTTTTTCTTTCTGTCTTTGTAATGACCTCTTGCTCTCTTCCTTGATGTCATCCCACAGTTCCTGTGGTCTTTGATCATTCTTGATCAATGCCTCAAATCTATTCTTTAACTGATTTTTAAATTCAAGTGGGATAGACGTAAGGTCATATTTTGGTTCTTGTGGATTTCTTTTCATTTTCTTCACCTTCAATTTGAACTTGCACATGAGAAATTGTCTGTTTCACAGCACTTGGCCTAGTTTTGAATGTTTTTTACACAGTGTCTGAAAACCCACTGTGAAAAACCACAGTGTCTGAAACTCAGTGGCAATGAGTTTGAAGATTTTTGTTTTGTTTTCAATTTATTCCTGCCCTCACTTCATACCACAAGCTAAAAAGTATCATTTCATAGAAATAGTGTCATGCAATTATGGTCTTTTATAGCTGGCTCTTTCACTCACCGTAGTATTTTTGAGGTTCACCGATTTAGCTTTAGTTTTAGTTTTTAGTTTAGTTTCAGTTTGTCTCAGTGAGACAGGTCAGAAGCTGGTGGGACTCCAAGAGTGCCAAAACCTTTCTAACCATCTTTCTAACCATGCTTTGTTTCCTTGTGACTCAAACCAAATGGCGGGAGAACATTCTGTGTTTAAAGCATAGGGAAGCTAAAACCCACACCGTGGAACACAGAACAGCCCTGCCTGCAGGCTTATGTTTAACTAGTTTCCCAAACAAGTCTCCTATCAATGGTGTAATGCCTTGTACTGAAATACATGAGTGACCTTCCATGAGTGGAGAGAAAGATGCAGTTTCCACAGCAGGGCTTGAACCAGCACTGAAAGGAGCTACACGTGCTCAACATCCCAGACTAAGTCTTGCCAAGCAACCCCAGAAACCTTTGCTCATAGGCTTTGTCTTGCATGTTGCTTGTACATGCACCTCCAGAATCCCCAAATTTTAATGAATTAACATGATATCCTTTCCCACTTGAAACCCTTTCTAAATATTTAAAACCCATTGTTTGGAGAGACAAGCCAGAGTTGGTACAGTGTCGCTTAATCTCTGCTAATGAGCTACTTCTGCTAAATAAAGCTTTGCTCTTGTGGAACCACTCAGCCTCTGCCGACCACTCTTTCCCCTCTTCCCCCTATTTTGAGGTATTACACTTTATTTACTATGATGTTGGCAAAAGAATAACTATCCCATGAACAAGGCCACTCTTGGTCAATAGGGGACAAAGACCTTACTTTGGAATAATTCTCAGCCTAAGACCGTTATTCCAATGCCTTCAATATTTCATTCTTTATTATTATTAAAAAATAATCTACATATCCCCTATCCTTCATCAATTGGTGGATGTCTGGATTATCTCTACTTTGTGGGTTTTTTTTGTTTTATTTACTTTTTTTTAAAATTAATAATACTGCTTTGAACATTTGCATACAAGTCTTTGGGAGACCATACAGTTTAATTTTTCTTGGGTACATATCCAAGTGCAATTTCTGAGTTTTATAAATTTATATTTTACCCCTAAGAAACTGAGAATGGTTTTCTGAAGTGATCAAACCATTTTACATTTCCTCCAGCAATGAATGAGAGTTGCAGCTTCCCTACTTTGTGATTTTTAAATTATAGTTGTTCTAGTCAGAGATTATATCATGAGTGGGATTAAGCACAGCAGATATCAAGAGGATGACACAGGATCAAGCAGTACTTAGTTCTGTTATAAATTGTTGTTGTTGTTGTTACATGCTGTCAAGTCACCTGCGACTCATAGCAACCTTTTATGTACAACAGCCCTGCTCTATCCTGTGCCAATTGTATTGTCTCTTACACACCTACCCCCATTACCCCAGTGACTGAATCAATACATCTCATCAAGGGCTTCCTCTCTTGCACTGTCCCTCCACCTTCCCAAGCATGCCATCCCTCTCCAAGCACTGGTTCTGCCTTGCAACATGTCCAAAGTACAGAATCCTTGCCTCCAAGGAACAGCCTGATCTCACCTTCTCTAGGATGAACATGTTTGTTCTGCTAGCAGTCCATGGTATATTCAAGACTCTTCTCCAGCACCACAGCTCAAAGGCATCAATTCTCCTTCTATCATCCATAGTCATTGCCCAGCTTTCTGATGCATAATAATTGTGAAGACCATGGCCTGGGTCAGGTGCACCTTAGTCTCCAGACTGACATCTTTGTTCTTCAGTACTTTGGAATAGGGTCATTATAAATTGGAGTTGACTTGGTGGACTTAATAACAACAAAAGTCAGTACGTGGCAATAGTTTCACTCCTTCATGACCAAAAGTGTTGAATATCTTGTACTCTTTAGCCATTTATATACTCTCTTTGGTGAAATATCCAAATATTTTGGTGGTTGTCCTGGTTTTCAATTTTGAGTGTTCTTCTTACATTATAGATACAAGTCTCTCTCTCTTTTTTTTTTTAAAAAAAAAGGTATAATAGTAAAGGTCAATTTATTAGAAAGTTACTTCCTTAAAGGGATGGACCTCCCTCCTTGGAAGGAAATATGGAGGAGTCTTTTATTAGATATATAAAGTTTATAAATATTTTTTGTCTTTTTATTTTCCTAATAGTACCTTTAAAAATGTTTATGAAGTTATAGGTGTTTTTTAAATTTTTATATTAACAGGATAGGGCAAGGTTCTGATTGCTTGTTCATAGGGTTGTTATGAGTCATGTTAGATTTGATGTCCCCTCACAATAACAATCTCTGTACTGTGATTTGTGGGAACTCTTTCCCACAACTGAAGGCTGAGAGGGGGTGTGCCTTGTCCTATTTGCATTCAACTTCCATATGAATTATGGGTCAATCATTTCTGACATTTGCCTTTCCCGCATTTGACGTGAGAACTTTGCAGGACCCTTGCTGTGCTCCAGACACTGCTCCCTTCCATCTCTTTATCCCTCAGGTCCCAGCCCATGTTGGTTGGTCCTCCTCTGAATCTCTCATCTCCTGACTCCCTCATAATAACACTCAGTAGGGTTAAGAGAGCTTGCTTATTTATCCTTCTCCAGTAGCTCCGTGTAGGCAAGACTTCTTCTCCCCACCACCCATTGTTCTTTGGCCAGTACCTGGCACATTGTCAGTGCTCATGGAGAAGTTGGAATGTTTTGTGAGTTAAATGAATAAGTTATTTATGGATGGAGTCCTAGTTTTCCTCCTCTTTTTTTATCAGAGGAGGCAGAGCCTGCCTGAGGAATGGATGTAGCTCTTTCCCCTTACCTGCCCACAATCATGAGCTCCTTCTCAGATGCCTTAGGTCGGATGTGATTCCAGAGGTCCATGGTGAAGATGATGCTGGCACTGTTAAAGATGGAGGTGAGGGAGGACATGAGCGCCGCCACCATCACAGCCATCATGAGCCCTCGGAGCCCTGGGGGCAAAAGGGAGGTCTATGGGCCTTAGATGTTTTTTTCTGTCAACAGTTGCTACCTTTATCCTCCATTTCTTCACCTAGGCCCAAGGTGCAACTCTGAGGAGGAAGGAACACAAGGACTGGGAAGAGTCGAGGGAACCTGAGAGAGGTGGGATGGGCAGAGCCTGCTGTGCCAGGGTCTGGGCTGTATTTCTGAGTCTTGGATTGAGAGCCAGCAGCCCTTCCATCTCCGCCTTCAGGTCAGACATCAACCAAATCCTTTCTGATTGCTTTAAGGGACTCGATTTAAGAGTGAGAAGACATTACCTGTGGGCAGAAGCTCCAGCACAAGTTTGGGATATGCGATGTCAGAGCAGCCGGAGGGATTGCTACAGACTTTCTGGCAGATTTCTGGATCTGCACAAGCCACTTGGTCTGTGAAGAAAGCACCATTTCCGAGTTAAGAACCTATGCACATGACCTACCACAAACCAGCACTAGCAGTTGGGTATGAATGACAAGAACTTGAGATGTCATTCTGGAGAGTGGGATCCTTGTAGTGGACCATCTATCCAGCAACTGCCCATAACACATGTGTACTGCAGGAGGCAGTACAGTGCAACTTATCTTAATAAGCTTTGGGAAATAGGAAAAACCACAATCTACACCCAATAGCAGAATGGACAAATAATATGTGGCATATTCATACAGTGGAATATTACACCGCAACAAAAGAAAAGAAAAATAATTTAATTACTGACAACATAATTTAAGCTCAGATGAAAAACAAAGATGCCTAAGAAAACCTTTTGAGATAGTATAAATGATCTACAGTTGCTATGCCAAATAACTTTCTATAATTATGGAAAGAGATGAAAAGGTGAGGAAAAATGGAGTTGCTTTCATAGCTAAAAAAGTCATTGCTAGATCCATCTTGAAGTACAATATTGTCAGTGACAGGATAATATCTATACGCATACAAGGAAGTCCAGTGAATACCACTATCATTCAAATATATGCACCAACAACCA